AATGATGATAATCGACCATTACTGGTTTGTGTATTGACTATACTTTTTATTCTTATTTTAGAGTGTACTCTTTCTAGCTATATAAAATAAGTTTGCTATAAAGCAGTACCCTGTGTAATTCCAGAATAGCCTTGTGCATTTCATGTTTACCACGTCTCTTGATTGCATCATTTTTCTTGTGCTTGATTTTAATCTCGTGTTGTTTTGTACTGGTTGTAGCCAGAGAGCAAGAGGCTGTGCCATATAGTCCAGGTATGTAGTAGGTTATCCCATCTAGGGTGGTGTACGTGAACTCTACAATGTTTGCACAACAAAATTGCTTAAGGATGCATTTCTGAGAACATGTCCCTGTCTTCTAGTGGTGTATGACTGTATTGGATTTAGCAATTGGTGACGTTCACAACAGTAGTTTCAGTGGAGTGGCAGGGGCCCAAACTACATGAGTTCGAGAGGTTAGAGGCAAGTTTTCTGAGATGCCAAAATGGAGCAGAGAACTGGAATAGAGCTGGAGGAAGATAGGCGCTTAAGAGTGGATGTTTTTAAGATGGAAGAAGTCATGGTATACTTACTTGTGTGCTGTTTGGAATGATCTAATAGAGGCAAAACTGATGATGCAAGAGAGAGGGGGAGATATTACTGGAAAGATGTCCTTGAATATGAAAGAGGACAAGGGCCCTAACTGGTTTGGCTCAGTGGATAGAGCGTCTGCTTGTGGACTGAAGGGTCCCAGGTTTGATTCTGGTCAAGGGCATGTACCTTGGTTGCAGGCACATCCCCAGTAGGGGGTGTGCAGGAGGCAGCTGATCGATGTTACTCTCTCATCGATGTTTCTGTCTGTCCCTCTCCCTTCCTCTCTGTAAAAATCAATAAAATATATATTTTTTTTAAAAAGAATGAGGACAAGGAACTTTCAGTGATGCCATGTTGCTATGCAGGGGAGGAAAAAAATCTCTGGTCCCTCCCTCTTAGGGTTCCTGGCTGGGTCTAAAAATTAAACTGACAAAGACATATAAACAGGAGAAAAGCATATTCATTTACTTCCCGTAAGTTTTATATGACAGGGAGCCTTCATAAAGAAAGACAGACGTGTAAAAATGGTGTTTTCATGCCAGGTTTGATGAAAAGTGGACCATCGCGTAGCAATAGGCTAGAACAAAGAGTATGAGGTAAATGTAGTAAACTGGGGAAACTTGGCAAGTCCTGTTTGTTCAAATTCTTCCCACGAACCCTCCACCCTGGAGACAAGTGTGCTCCTTTCCTCCAGGTATAGGGAGAGCACTTCCCACACCCCGGATTCATGACCTGCTTCAGGGGAGAAGGGAAGGTCGGTGAGAGCTTTCTGTTGCTGCTGCTTTCTCAAACTCCATCAGCTTAAAATATTCAGTATGCCAAGATGCCATACTTTGGAGTACTGTGTTCTGAACCCTGTCTGCTGGTTAAGTACAGCTATTACGAAATTTTATAAATTTATAATTAGATAAACTATATTTTAAAAGGTAGAAGGTATTCAAAACCCATCCCTTCCTAATTATGTCACTACCTTTACCATCATCTATGTTCCTGTGGTTCTGTCAGTCGTCTGCGGATGGTGGAAATGCCACACAATGGCTCACTCCTGTGCTTGCTCTCCCAATGCCACACTTAGTGACATCACCGTGGTAGTCTGACATTGGCCACAGTGGGAGCATTTACACCACAGAAGTCAAAGCGTTAGAAATCAGGGCTTGAGAGCTGTTTGTTAACACATAGTTTGCAGGTAGTTTTTATCGCGGGCTAACAGGTGGCACGGGCCATTTTTGCAGTTGAATAGATTGATTACCGTTATACCTGGAAGTACATACATAATTCACCATTGTATGTGTTAGAGACCGAAATTTTGTCCTTTGGAATTCGTATATCTGCATGTTAGCATCCCTTTAGAGCAATAAAAAAGTATAAAAATAAACGTATTTATACGTTACCCGCATTCTACCACTAGTCTATAAAAAATGTATTAATACGTGTTCCGCACTCTACTACCAGTCAATGTAAAACGTATAATTACGTTTCCCACATACAATGTGTTAAGTCCATCTGATGCAGTGTGTCCTTTACAGTCTCTGTTTCCTTGTTAAGTTTTTGTCTGGAAGATCCATCCAGTGAAGTCAAAGGGATGTTAAAGTCCCCCAATATGACTCTATTGTTGTTGGTCTCTCTGTTAAAGTCCTCTAGAAGTTTTTTTTTAATATATATTTAGGTGCTCCTATATTGGGTGCATATACGTTTACCAGGGTTATATCCTCTTGTCGGATCGATCCCTTTAGTGTTATGTAGTGACTTTTGTTTTCTCTTGTGATGGACTTCAGTTTGAAGTCTAGTTTGTCATATATGAGTATTGCTACTCCAGCTTTTCTTTTCCATTTGCCTGAAATTTTTTTCCATCCCTTCACTCACATCATATACATGTCTTTTGTTCTAAGGTGGGTCTCATGTAGACAGCACATAGTTGGGTCATGTTTTTGTATTCATTCAGCTACCCTATGCCTTTTGATTAGAAAGCCCCAAAAACTGTAACTGAGATAACATGCTTAAGTCTGCTTCTGTAAACTGCTTTTTTTGCAAACCAGGTTCCTCATTCCAGACTCGAGGGCTCTAGATAATGTGTTTCTGTCAGTTCAGTGATCCGGGGACCCAAAACTGTAATTGAGATAACATGCTGCTTCTGCTTCTGTAAACTGCTTTTTTGCAAACCACGTTCCTCATTCCAAACCTTGGGATGTAATCAATACCTTTGTGATCTTTGCCTATATAAATCTGGTGTTGGGGCTGGGGCGGACACTATGAGATCTGGGAGAGTGAATTGCCCCCTCATAGTCCCGGATTTGCAATAAATGTGACTCTTTAATTGGACTTCTTGAGGCGTCCTTGCGTGATTCGCGGGGTACATTACAACATTAGTAGTTATGAATTCAAAAGAGGCCTGATAGTCCTGGCTGGAGTGGCTAAGTGGTTAGAGTATCAGCCTGCACACCCTAGGGTCTCTAGTTCGATTTCTGTCAAGGTTGCATACCTGGGTTGTGGTTCCCTCCCCACCCCTGGTGCCCCTGGTGGTGGTCGTGGTGGTGGTGGTGGTGGGGGAAGGCGTGCAGGAGGCAACTAGTTGATGTGTCTCTCATCTCTCCTCGTTTCTCTCTCTCTCTTTCTCTCCTTCCCCCTCTCTCTCTCTCTCTCTCCTCTCCCCCCCTCCTTCCCTCCTTTGCACTCTCCCTGAAAAGCAATGGAAACAAGATACTCCGGTGAGGATTAACAAAAGAAAACAGAGGCCGGCTAGCAGTGGATGTGTATCTCCCTTGTTCAGCAGCTTGGCTGAAGCAGTGACTGACCGGACAGCTGGCTTTGTCCAAGGCTAGGCTTTTGCGAACGTGTGACCATGTGTCAGGGGCAAGTGAGATGATACAATTATACATGGAAAAGCCATCGCCTCACAGGCCTTCCTTATTCATTCTAGCTAACATCATTTACTACCTACCACTCCTGCAACTTTAATCCATTATCACGTTTATTTTCCCATTTGGTTAATTGGTTAAGTCACCGGGCTTACCACTCCTACTGACTGTGCTTTATTTACCGCTGAATCCAGTGCTACCACAGTGCTTGGTGCATAGTAGGTCTTCAGTAAGGAGCATGGTGAAGAACTTATTGAATGAATGGATCACCTGCTCCTTCTCATCCAGTGTGCACAGTCCGAGTGAAGAACCCGCACAATTCTTTTTCTGACTCCTTGTTGTTTTCTCTGTGGTGTTTAATCTTCAAGAAGCAAAGGAATTTTTGGAGCCAGCTTCTACACTTGAGACCCGAAGTCAAGCCTGGAAGGCAGCCGCCCGGGCCCTGTCTCACCGTACTAACAAGGAGGTGATATGAGCTCCTAGGCGCGGAGGATGGCTGTTTACGGTGTTTATTCCTTTTTCAGGGTCGCCATCAGCGGTTTACGGCTTACCCTGTAGCTCCAGACCAAGTGATGACACAAAGGCACAAGTCCCAAAGTCCGAGGCTCCGAGGCCTGGCGGGCAGCTCCGGGCCTGGAAACTGCGGTCCGCGGGCCCCGCGGGGGAGGAGGGTCCCGGCCGCTCCCGGTGCCTCCAGGCGGAGACAGTGGGACCCAGAGGCCGGGTGCGCCTCCCCCGCTCCGCTGCCGCCAGAGGACTTTGGCGGAAGAGGGCGGGGACGTGACCGCTTGTCTGTTTCTCCGAGCGGACAATAAAGTTTCAAAGTTTGAAAGAG